TCACTTCCCTGCTTTCTCACAGCAACAAGTTTCTAGTGCTCCCAAACGAAGCTGCTGTAGGACCTAGTGCTCCAGCCCACTTGCCACCTAACCCCCAGCACCTGACTTGGCTCCCTCTCTCCTAGGCTCTTGGTGCATGTCACCCAAGTGTAGAGTCATCCCCAAACCTGACATGGCTGTCCAGTCTCCCCACCTACCCTCTGTGGCGAGGTCCTGCCGATCCCGCAGAGGGAGGGCACTGAGGCGAGGGACATCTTCAGGCACCATGGCCCGGGCCTGACCCAGGGCCACAGCAGCATGACGGCAGACATGTTTAATTCGGGGACCTTGCACAGGGGACTCGGGACCCTGGGAGAGACATCGGGAATGTGTGTGGGTGGCTGCTGCTTTTGCTCCCACAGCCCCGCTCCTCCTGCTAGCCTTCCTCAGAGCCCTCGTCCCGATGCATACCGAGGGCCGCTCTCTCTTAGCTTCCACCGACTCATCTTCTGACCGGATGGGGCCTCTGTCAGAGATCTGCTTGACAGCCCCGACCACCTCCTCCATCTGCCCTCCAGGGCTCAGCTGGCAGGGAATGAACAGGGTCAGGGGCTAGATTGTGAAGAAAGATAGGGACAGGGGGCAGGGCGTGGTGGCTCATGCCTGTAATCCTAGCACTTTGGGAGGCCAAGGTGGGCAGATCACAAGGTCAGAAGTTCGAGATCAGCCTTGCTAATATGGAGAAACCCCATCTCTCCTAAAAATACAAAAATCAGCCGAGTGCGGTGGCAGGCGCCTATAGTCCCAACTACTGAGGCCGGAGAATCGCTTGAACCCCAGGAGGCGAAGGTTGCAGTGAGCCAAGATCACACCACTGCATTCTAGCCTGGACAACAGAGCGAGATTCCATCTCAAAAAAAAAAAAAAGAAGACAGGGATAGGGAACTAGCACAGGGAAGGATTGGGGCTGGGGAGGAACACAGGAAGGTGGGGGATCAGGGAAAAGCTGGTTCTGAGGGTTCCCCACAATGCTGGAAAGTGTCCAGGGAGGTGGGAGATTAGGGGGCTGCAGACAATGGATGCTGGATGAATGGGTGTGCAGCTGGGCCCAGGCACCATACTCACCGGCATGGAAGCTGCCACTTTCTGCTGCTGCTGCTGGTCAATCTTGAATAGCTGCACTTTGGCTCTCTTGAGGAGGCTGAACATTTTCTCCTCTACCCCAGACAGCGGCAAGGAACCCAGGCCAGAAATGCGAGCTTTTTCCAAGGGAGGCATCTGCTGTGGTGACGGTGGTGGCTGCAACTGTGGCTGTGACTGCAGTGGCGGTAGTGCCTGGGGCAGGAGCTGGGTTTGCAAGGCCTGCAGGGGCTGCAGTAGCTGAGCCTGAGGTTGTGGCCCGTTGCTCAGAGCTGGGGCCCCATGAGGGGACACCTCGGGCTTAACAGGAGTGGTGACCACAGGGGCGAATCGAGGCAGGCTGAGGTGGTTGGTTCGGCCCACTGCCCGAGGCTCAGGCTCAGCTGGAGAGTCATCAGCGGGAGGAGGCTCTGGCTCAGGGGCTTCAGGAGCCCCAAGAGGAGGAGGAGTAAGCACCGATTCGTAGATCTTCAGGTGGGCTTCGCTTGGGGTAAACTGAGGGGCCCGAAGGAGTAGGGGCCTCCGGGAGGTGGTGGCAGGAACAGGGGGTGGGGAAGGGACCGGGGCAGGTGGGGGGGCTGGGGGAGGAGGGGGCAGCTCCCGGGTCAGTGAGGTCCAGCGAAATGTGGGTTCCCTTAGGATGGACCGTCTCTTCTCAGGGAGAGGGACTGGGGTAGATGGAGGAGTTGGGGCACGTGGTGGAGAGGGGGCTGGTGCTGGTTCCTGGGGAGCAAGTGGGGAGGTGGCGATGGGAGGTCGCAAGACAGGTGAGACCTCCACCTTTGGGGGTTTGGGGGGGTCTTCATCCATAAATCGCCGGGGTGTCTTGATGACACGGGAGGAGCGGGCACTCACCACAGGCATAATAAACTGCCGGATATTCTTCAGGAAGGTGGTGCTTTTGGGGGCCACGGTGGGACTGTCCTCTGGAGGGCCTCCCGTGGCGGTGCTGGGGGTTGGGGTGGGAGGAGAGGTGCCCTCTGGCCCTGCGCGAGCAGCTTCCCGCTCCGCCCGCTGGCTAGGAGTCAGAGGAGGCCGGCCCCTCTTCCTGGAGCAGGTAGCTGGGACCACAGGAGGTGGGGATTCTTCCTGCTCCTCTTGGGGAGGAGGCTGTGGAGGGGATGGCAGGGGTGGTGGAGACACTGGGGGTGGTGGTAGAGGGCAGGGTGGGGGTGGGGGTAGAGGAGATATCAAGGGGGGTGGGAGGGGTGGAGGAGGTGAAGGGGCTGGAGGAGTCGGAGGCGGCGGTGGCAGCTTTGCCTCTTCCTTGTCCATGGCTGGCATCATCTCCCCAGCTACAGCTCTTTCTTCCTTCTCTTTTCCCTCCTTGTCTTTTTCCTCTTCTTTCTTCTCCTCTTCCTCATCATCTGGTTTCTGCTCCTGCTTTTTCCAGCAAGGGCTCCCTCCCTGTCCAGATCCAACTCTTCTTTGGGGGGCATCCTGCCAACTTTCCTCATGTTGACCTTGACCCTGACCCGATTCGAGTCCCAAAGACAATTGTCCCATCTTCACTCTTTTGGCCCTTGAAACAAACTTGATCACAAAGGGGAGCCCACCTCGGCCTCGGCCCCTGCCTCCACGGCCTCCGCGGCCTGACTGTCCTCCACGCTTGGGGGTCCCAGGTCCTGGGCCAGGCCCCTCCTTGCACTTCCAGCTGCCAGTTTGGTGTTTCACTGGAACCACAGGAGGTGGGGGCTCAGGTTTGGGGATTGTCACAGCTGCTTCCGCCAACATTACTGCTTGTTGCTTCCTCCTGCAGGGACCTGCTGACCGTCCTGGGGGCCGTCCCCGAGACCGGCGGGGGGTGGAGGGCTCACACGTCCGGCTCCGGGGTGCTGGGGGTGCCTGGGCCCGCCGGAGAAGTTCAGTCAGTGCCTGTACCATCCGTTCTGTGCCTTCCTCACCCCGTTTCCGGGCAGGGGTCTTTGGGGGGGTAGGAGCCACATCTGCTAGGCGAGGAGGAGGAAGGGGGGTCGTCTTATGCTTGCGACCCCGACCTCGGGGCGCTCGACCTAAAAGGAGAATAGGTGTGGGGAGATGGATCAAGCCGGCCCTGCAGACCAAGGAAGGCGCTCCAGGAGAGCAGGGACTGTCTTGCTTGTGTGTTTCCCCCACTGCCCAGCCTAGCTTGGACTCTGAACACAAAACACACTCGGCAACTGACAGAGACTAGCTGAACAGGGAAGAGCTGACATGAAGGGTGAGGATAAATTCCTGTGACGCTACAGAGGTGGAGTTCCCCCGTCACTCACCTCGCTGGGATCGGAGCGCAGAGCGCAGGGAACTGGGGGCCACATCTTCATCTGAATGAAAACCCTGAAACTCCTGATTTAGGGGTCCAGGGGTGGAGGGGAGAAACAGCAGTCAGTGCCAAAGCCCCTGGTCCACCTCAGGTATCGAGGAATACCCCCAGTTCCCACTTAGCATACCCATTCTTATTTTAAAAGATTGAAAAAGGCTCAAAGGTCAAGGGGAGTAAAAGACAGGGTCTCTCCCTAGGGCTGCAGGCGCCAGGTATTTCCAACCCCATCCCCAGTGCCAGACCACACCAGCACAGCCAAAGCCGTGGTTCACTGGCCCAGGAGAGAAGACACGGTCTCCTCTCGAAAGCAGCAGGCCCCTAACTCAGATTCCAACTCAGGCCAAAGCAGGACCTCCACAGACACCCTTTCGGGGCACGACTTCTTTCTGAATTAAACTGGGAACAGGGGTCCGCAAGTAGAGGGGCAGGGAGAGCATCGGATGCCTTCTGCACAGGCTCCACTGCCAGCCCTCAGGTGGTTATTAACCGTGCTGGGTAACGCAACCCCCACCTTCCTGCCTGTTCTAAAAGGCTGGGGAGACATCCTAAGCTGAGCTCTGACCTGCCAGAGTGCCCAGTTCCAGTCCCAGCCTTCATCCCACTCCTGTTCAACCTGAGCCCGAAGAGGATGCCCTCCACCACTCCACCTGAGATGCCAAGAGGAAGTGGGCCCTGGAGAAACCAGGAGGTTGCCAGGCCCGGCGGGCCGGCCCACAGGTAAGAGCCCAGACAGCTCCAGTGCGTTCGCCAAGGCCACGCTGCCGCTGTCAACCACCACTGGCTGGAGATGCATTACCCACTGCCTCCTCGCCCAAACCTCCACTGCCCTAGCTTTGCCAGCTGCCGAAAAGCATCGGCCCAAGACACTTCAACAGGACCGGCATCGGGCGCGAGTGGCCGGCTGCAGCCGGGGCTTCTCTACCCACTTCCAGAGGCCCTTTTCCCCGGAAGCTACATGCAGCCTCCCTCCGTCCGTGCCTCGTCTCTCCAAAGGAACCCTGAGAACCCGGCCTGCCCACGCCGCCCCCAGGGCAACCCAGACCCCTGGTAGCCCCGGCCTCCGCCCCACCCGGCGCCGGGGACGCCTCCGACCGCCTCACCTCCTCGTCGGATTCCCCGTCACTGCTCTCCTCTTCCAGCAAGCAGCCCCGGCTCGAGCCCCAGCCCCGGCCCCTACCCCGGCCCCGGCCCCGCTGGACCCGCGGGCCGGCCCACAGGCGGCGGAGCCGGCGCAGGCCCCGGCGGAGCCCCAGCAAACGGAGCAGGGCCGTGTCCTCCCCGGGCTCGGCTCCGCCCGGCCCCGTCGCGCCACCGCCGCGCCGCAGAGCTACCCGCACTCTTTCGGCTCCGTTGCCCCGTCCGCCACGGCCCCCGCCCCCGCAGGCGCCCCGCGGCCGGCCTGGGAAACGGCCCCGCGCGGAGCCAGGCCCGGGGCAACTGCCGCCGCCCGCCGCCGCCGCCATCTTGGCACCGTGAGAGGGGCCGGGGAGGCGGGGGGAGGGGCGGCCCGTGCGCAGGGGCGGGGGGAGGGGAGAGAGCGGGGGCGGGGCTGGGCGGCCGCGGCGCACGACAACAACCAGCGCCGCCGCTGGGCCACCGGGGACCGGGGGCCGGGGGCCGGGCCGGCCACGCGCGGGGCACCACGGGAGCGGGAGTCCGCGGCCGGCCAGCACCCTCGGACCGCGCCTGGGGAGCGCAGACCCCGCGTCGCGGCCGCAGAGGGGCGAGCCGCGGGGGCCTCCGGGAAATGTAGTCCGGACGCCTCACTTCTTCCTCCGGCAGCCAGGGCGCGAGAGCAGGGACTGCGGAGGTTCCCGGCCAGGACCCGGAAAGCGGGTTGCCGGGCCTCCGGGAGGTGTGGTCCTCGCCGCAGGCTCCTCCCATTGTTCTTGGCTAGGCCGGCGGCCCGCATGGACTACCACTCCCAGGGTGCCGCGGGCTCGGGCCCTGGTATCCCGAGGCCCTGGGAAATGCAGTTCGCAGCTGCTGGAGGCGTGGGCTGGAGAAGGAGCGGTGGAAAGCAGTTAGTCTCGGTTCCAGGCGCGACACCCCGGCGGTTCGGCACGGCGTAGAGGGAAGACGCCTGAGAGGCCGCGGTCTCGGGGTCAGTGTGCTCCAGGAGAGTAAGCGGGTGCCTGAGAGCAAGGTCGGAGCACGCGTTCCTCTCCCACCCTGGGCCGAGCGCGCCCAGATCAGACTCCTCACGCCGTGGATTGCAGTGGAAGGGGCGAGTGACTTGCGGTCGCACAACCCCCACCAGCTCAGGACCTGCCGCGAGGTGTACCCGGACACCGAGCCCTCGCGGCCGGCTGCCTCCCGGGGAGAACGGGGCGCCTTGGGGATGGAGGAAGTGTCTACTCCGTTGGACCACCAGGGGCCGCTACAGGACAAGGGGCGTGGGCGGAGGTGTGCACAGACTAAACTCGGCTTTCTAGTCCTGAAGGGAGAACACAGGAAACTCTTTATTATGCTGATGTGATCGACAATCCTCCTACTGTTAAGCTTCGCTCCTGCACACTTCAGTGCCCTCACTCTGTAGGGCTCGCTGGCCTGGGCTTCTGCGACCCGCGATCGTCCGGGAGAGGGCACTCGGCGCCCTTTTTGGGGCGGAATTTGCTAGGCCGCTGTAGCAGCGGTGCCAGGTCAGAAGCCGAGCCGGCCGGCTTTTCGTTCTTTAATTGGACTCTTGGCTAAGACGCTACCGACACCCCGCTAGGTGGTGGAGGAAGGGGGACAACAGAGAGAGGTCGAGGGCCGGGACGGTCTCGTGGAGGAGTAGAGGAAGGTGGAGCGGATGGTCCATCCGGGCGGGAGTTGGTTGGGCGAGTGGCCGCGCATGTGCGCTTGCATGGAGGCCAGGCTGGGACAGCCGGCCCCGCACAGGGGGCAGCGGTACGGAGCAGCCCCGTGCGTCCGCAGGTGCTTCGTCATGGCCGAGAAGTCCCGGGAGCGCTGAGGACAAAGGCTACAGGAGAAGGGCTTCTCTCCTAGGGGAGAAGAGGAGGCCGGTGAAGGAAGAAGGGGGCAAAAGCTGGCCAAGTTAGGGGGTACATGGGGCCACGGGGAGAGGGGACTGCGCTGGAACTGGGCACGCAGAGGGAGACTCCGGAGCGGAGTTGGAAAGAAAGCCGACAGTTCACACAGGGCAGGGCGCCCATACCTGTGTGGACTCGGTAGTGCGTCTCCATCTGATGCTTGAGTGAAAACCTCTTTCCACAGACAGAGCACGCATAGGGCCGAGATCGAGCAGGAGGGGCCGGGGGAAGGTGTGGGCGAGGTGGGCAGCCTGCCTTGCCCTCATGACCTCTACAGGTTGCAAGTACACCTGTGGGGACAGAGAAGGCAAAGGAGGGCAGGGCCAGGGCCCCAGCGCCAACTCAACTGTACCATTCAGGCAAGAAATCAAGGGCTACAGTGGGGCAGAAGCACGAGTTCCCCTGCCCGACTCACCTGTGTGCCCCTGATCAGACTCTTCCATCTCCCCAGGGCTGAGCTGTGTGGGGCCCTGGGGGAGGGAACCTAGAGGGAACACAGGGAGGTAGATGGGGGCCCTGCTCAGGCTGGACTCCTGGGCCCCACCCCAGAGAAGAGACCATGTTGCAGGTGTATGCAGGACAGCTCGGGGCTTACCTGGGGTGGGGCTGGAAGAGGCCAACTGGTTCTGGCTCCAGAGCCCTTTGGGGGCATTTAGGGACAGTGGGATCCTGGGATGGGGTGGGGAAGAGTTACAGCCTTGGCTAAACCTGGGAACCTGACCCCTTGCTGAAGAGGGGGTGTCCCAAGACCTCCCAGGGGCTGGGCTTTGGCATGCCCTGTGGTAGTAGCTTGTCCCATCCCCAGCTCAGGAACCGTGCAGAAGTGATCAGGTGCCCTTCCACCCACCTGGGCTGCCCCTCCTGGGCCACACCCTCCCAGCCTGGAGAGAGAGCACTAGGCCCTCCACTCACCTGTGGTCCTGCCAGACCTCCTGCCAGGCTCCAGTGGTGGGGGCGATGTGGGAGAAGGGAGTGCCATATCTAGGCGGCACCAGCAGGATGCTCCACAGGGCAGGCTGGCCCTCCACCAGCCAAGGGGCCTCAGCCCACCGTGGCCTGGGGGTGATGCTGGTTTGGGGGAAGTCTGCTAGGGGAAAGGGGCCAGGGAGCTCCCATAGACTTTCCTCGGAGCCCCCTGGATTCTCCCTCACCCACATGAGCACTCCTTGCTTCCCATCTGCTCCCCTGTGGCCAACAGGGGCTTGGAGGTGGTTCTCCTTTGACCTAGTCTGCTCCCCCTGAGCCTCCTGCATTGTTCCTGCCTTCTCGGGGCTGCCTCTTGGTGGCATCTGCTTGTGCAACATCTGTTCTCTCCCACCAGTTCGAGAAGCCTTCTCTGGTTTCTGCTTCTGGTCCCCCAGTTCTCTCTCAGGATTCCGTGAGGGTTTCTCTGGCTCCTCCTGGTGTTTCTTCAGGCCTGGATCTGGCTCTTTAGCCCTGTCTCCTCGAGCCCTTCGGCATGCCTCTTCCAGGGACTGTACCCCCAAGGCCCTGGCTGCCTCCTCAAGGGGTCCTAGCTCCTCAGGCCGCAGCTCTACACTCTCCCCATACACAAAGTGCAGGAGCTGGGCAAAGGTGGAAGTGCCGATGCCTTCTCCCAGAGCCCACTGGCCCCTGCGGCCCAGCTGCTGGCTGACACCTGCTAGCACCAGACTGTGGGCGGGGAACTCCTGGCTCCCTACAGTGATCAGGGTATCACATAGTGCTGGCCGGAGCCTGGCTGCTAGCTGTACCAGCCGATCAGAGCCATAGGGGCTGGGCAGTCTTATGGGGGGCAGGGGCATTGTGCCTTGCTTGGGAACCAGTCTCAGAGGCTCTAAGAGAAAGGCCACAGTGTGAGGTCCATGGTTGAAAGGGGAGGGAGGAACATCTCATCTCAAGCCTGTGGATGTGAGGGGAGAGAGTGTGAGTTGGTGGTCCTAGATCAGAGCCCTCTGTCCTGAGTGAGCAAATCGAGTAACCCAAGAGAGGATTGGAGCTTATCCAGAATCATAATGGGTAGGCATGGTGGCGAGAGAATGGAAATTAGACCAAATTCAGGACTTACAGAGCAAGGTCCAGGCAGTTAACAGAAATATCTAGTAGTGGGTTTAAGACAGGCATACGGGACGTCTGCCAGTTAGCAGTCTCTGACGTAAAAGATAGCAGATACTGCCACTTCTGCTTCTCCAACCCCCTCCGCAGGGAAACAACTCTGTGCAAGCCAGGCTTTCCTCATTCCAGAGAAGAGGATTACCACAAAACCCAGCCAACCCTGGCACTAAGGGATGGGGCATGACACAGTGTCACAGGAGAGCTTAGAGAGCTAGTGGGTCCTCCCCCACAAGCCCATCGCACCGGAAAGGCAGAGAGAGCAGAATGATAGGGAACCTGGCTGCAGGAGCAAAGGCGCTAAGGCATCTGGCTATCATCACCCTGAAGCTGAAGCTTCTAGAACACATCCTCAGGGAAGGAACCAGACATTCCCATCCAGAGAATGAGGAAAACAGGTGCAGAAGCCACAGGAGAGGACCCTCCAATGATGGAGAGAGGTTTTAGAGAATGGACCCCTGGGGAAATGGGAGGAAGGGATGTGGGACCTGGAGATAGGGAGGCTGTTTCCGCTCAAGATTTGGATAAGGAGATGGTTTAATTTGTTTTCATTAGACAAAAAGTGAAGAATAGGAAGACCACACCCAACAAGGCAGGAGTTTCTCACACATCAAAGCCACCGCATTGGCTTTTAAGAAGAGAGCTGGGAACCCAGATACCAAGAGAATCAGAACCCAAATGTCTTAGCACCCAGCAGGCAGAGTCCTAGGGGCAGACTCCCTGAGCAGGGTCCCTTGTGGGAGGGAGGGCTACATTTGGACACCGCAGGGAGAGGGCTCCAGGTTGTCAGGGAGGGGACAGAAAGAGAGTTGTGATGGGAAGAAAGCCTCAGGTGGGGAGAAGCCATCACTCACCGCTTACTTGCTCCAGGACACCGCATGCTCTGAACTGCTGTTGGGGCTCCTGGGGCCCCCCTGGAGCTAGCCCCGCCCCTGACCTCACAGGCCTCCATTGGATGTCCCAAGTATCAGTCTGCCAACATCCCCCCGAGGGGGTGGGGTTTTCTAACCCTGCCTCTGCCTTCTGCCTGCAGGAGAGACCACCCCCTCTGCTTCCAGAATGCACGCATTCTACCTCTAGCCTCCTGTCTCCTCACTTCGTTTGTGAACTCCTAGAGTCAAAGAAGTGCAACTGTGGCAGCAAGGACCTTGGAATCATCAGACCTGCCTTTGAATTTCATCTCTGCCATTTACTAGTTGAGTCATATTGGGCAGGTCACTTCTCTGGGCCTCAGTAACACCATGCATGAACTAGGGATAATCTCTGCTTACCTCATTTGGAGGTGGGGGTGAAGATGAAGTGACATGACGAATATAAGCATGGTTTGTAAGCACACAGTAACATTCAGTGGTGTAGTGGTTTCTTAGAGATGACAGTAGAGCGCACAGCTGTTTCTGCTACCCCAGAAGGAAAAAGGACTGAAACATTTGGATCCCAAGAATAGGGTGGAGGAGCCAGAAGGTGGCCTCCACCCTCTCCCTGACTTGGTACGGGGAAGCCTCACTTGCTGGTTCGGAATGACCCCTGTCACCTAGGGGGCTGCGTGTGTGAGTGACTCAGATCCTCCCATCAAGCTCTGAAAGGGGCAACCCCAGGAAGGACCTGTGGTGGTCTTCGAAGTGAAAACCTCCTTTTCTTGGGCAGATGACAAATGTCATTTCTCTGAAATCAGGACTTGGGTTTCTTTCACTTCCTGCCCAAGGGGTCAAGGTCCCCGGAGGTTTCCCCTCTTTTCACACTTTAGCACTCTTTAATATCTAGGGAAGGGATGAGGTCTGAGAGGCTCAAGTTTCTTTTTCTGTTTGTCATTATTCTGTTATCCCCGATGCTATAGCAGAATTTTCATTTATCCAGCAAATGTTGATGACACATTTATTTTGAGATGGGGTCTTAATCTGTTGCCCAGTGGTAGGATCACGGCCCACTGCAGCCTTGGCTTCCTGGGCTCACATGATCCTCCCACCTCCGCCTCCTGAGTAGCTGGGACTACAGGTTTGAGCCACCATGCCTAGCTAATTTTTAATTTTTGGTAGAGACAGGGGTCTCACTATGTTACCCAGGCTGCTCTTGAACTCTTCAGCTCAAATGATCCTCCTGCCTTGGCCTCCCAAAGCGTTGGGATTACAGGCATGAGCCACCGTGTCCAGCAGATAAAGCACTGATGATATGTGCCTGGCATATCATACACGCAGCAAATGATGGAAGATAAACAAGTCAGGCACTGGTGGGCTGCTCTGGTTCCCCATAGGCTTCTCTTAAGGGAGGAGGATCTAACGGTCCTGGTCCCCTCCTAGACCCAAATATTGTCTCTGACTCCCATTTCTCCCTTTGGCTCCAGGACCCCCAAATGTTGAGAGCAACCTCCCACTCTCCAGGCCCACCACACCTTCCCTCTTATTCTAGCATGGGTGTGGGCGGGTATTAACCCTTCCTAGATCAGACAGGGTGTGTCAATGGGTGAGGCTGGTGGAGGGGCAACAGGGTGGTGAGAGGGGAAGATGAGTCAGAATGAAAGGGAAAATGCAAATGTGAGAGCCGTGTTCATCTGCTACTCTGAACGTTAAGTATTTTCCATTTCTAAGCTTTCTAATTCCTCACACCACCACACCCAGGGACTTTAGTTAGACACCCATATAAAAGACACAAAGCATCAATCCCTCTGATATGTACGCACAGAGGGAAACACCCTTCCTCCAACACAGAAATAGAGTCCCTCAAGACAAGGAAGAAGTGTGGAAAGCCCTGAGGGACCAGCCCCTAGGATAGAGGAAGGGTATAAGGGTTTGGACAATTACATTGTCACCCATCTGAGTTTGGCCTCCTGGCTTCCCAGCCCCATGTCATGCGCCTGTGACTCAGCTCCCCCACTGGTTTGCTCTTTGATCGAGAGAGTTGGAGATTGCTCAAAAGGCAGCATCCTGTGTAAGCCAAATGTAGTACCCAGAGAGCATCAGTGGGCTTTCGGGGAACCTTAAAGCGGGGAGGGGAAAGGGGACTCCCCTTTCAGTAAACAAAAGCCTCAATAATGGGGAACCACACCTAAGGATATCCCCTTAGAGATGACCTCCTTAGAGTTATCTCCAGGGCCTTCTGCACTGCAGCCCCTATGCTGATGACACTCAGCCCTTCTCTACCCTCTCCCTTCGTTCTTGACAGTGTAACCCAAGCCATCCTGCACAGATGGCAGAAGCAGACAGCACTTTGACTTGGAAGAGTAGGGACACTGCTGGTGCTGTTCTGATGTTGTCATTGTTTTGTTTGCTTTATGAAGCAGAATCATGTTCTGTCACCCAAGCTGGAGTACAGTGTCACCATCTTAGCTCACTGCAACCTCTGCCTCTGGGTTCAAGTGATTCTTGTGTCGCAGCCTCCCAAGTAGCTGGAATTATAGGCACACACCATCACACCCGGCTAATTATTGTATTTTTAGTAGAGATGGGGTTTTACCATGTTGGCCAGGCTGGTCTCGAACTCCTAGCCTCAGATGATCCACTGCTGGGATTACAGGCATGAGCCACCTCTCCTAGCATGTTGTTGCTGTTCTTTATTTTTCATTTTTTTGAGATGGAGTCTCACTCTGTCACAAAGGCTGGAATGCAGTGGCGTGATCTCAGCTCACTGAATCTCTGCCTCCTGGATTTAAGTGATTCTCCTGCCTCAGCCTCCCGAAGTGCTGGGATTACAGCCATGAGCCACTGTGCCCAGCCCTGATGCTGTTTTTAAAAATTCTCCCCCTCCCTAGACTCAAAAGCCTTCCCCACTTTTCTCTTCCTGGGCTGACTTGGTAGGAATCATCTGCAGTTGTCGCTCTGGGAAGAGCAAGGAAACAACGGGTTATGTGGACACAAGCCTGTGTCCTACCAGAGGGTAGAGTGGGAAGAGATTAGGTAGGGCATGATAGGAAGGGCAGTGTGTGAGAAAAGAATATATGATATCTGCCTCTCAGTCCTTTTTAATATTCATTACTTTTTTTTTTTTTTTTT